GAGCACTTTTTATCTGTTGAAGATAATGGCTGTGAAAAGCAGTTTGTATTCTAGCACAGAGCAAGCCTACGTAGCAGCCTCAAGACAATGAAATGTCAGGTTTGTGTTTAGTAGCCTTACACAGGAAAACTTTCCTTTTTCTCGTATGGGATTTGTATAACTGTAAAAATCGGATTTCAGTAGGAAAGTTGCATATGATACATTGGGTTTTTTCCTTGTAGAAAATGTTTTTGCTTTTTTTCATGTGCATCATAGAATACTTTGAATTGGAAGGGACCTTTTAAAGGCCATCTAGTCCAACCCCCCTGCAGGGAGCAGGGACACCTTCAACTAGATCAGGTTGCTCAGAGCCCTGTCCATCCTGTCCTCAGCACTTAGTTAAAAGGTTGGGTAGAAGTTGAGGTGCATCTTGAGCCATCTGCGTAGCCCCATATAACTTTGTACATTTTCATGTTGTACTCCTGAGACAGAAGATTGTGAAAAAGCATGGAAATACATGGAATTGCCATTAGATTTCATAGGTACATGTATTTAGACTTCAAAGTAACGGTAGAATTGCTCACACCACCTGAAGTGTCAAGCGTGAGTCCACACTTGGATTCCGAGTTTCACAAAATGTGTATTTCTGCCTCTTGGACCATGTAAGTACAGTGTTGTCAGGCGTTTCCAAGTACCAGTTGACTCAAACATGCTCCCTTCCAAGATGTTGCTGAGCCATGTAGCCGCTGTGCCCAGGCGGGCCTCATACTGGCTCTGCAGATGACATCTTTAAGTGGAAGTCAGAGTCAGCCTTCTGCTGATCTGTTTTTAAAGACCAAGTGTTACTTACCTAAATAAACAATTTATTTTCTTTGATTTATTAAGGAAAAAACCAAACAGTGTGGGTAATTACTGACTGGATTTTCCTCAGAGTTTTTATTTGATATGTATTATTCACTTTATCTTACACATGCTACTGCATGTAACAGATGTATTGCATCAAATACAATATACCACATGCAGATTTTTGACACAAGTCCCTTTTGGTTTACAGGTTTTTCAGTGAATGCCTCATCAGAGCGGCTCAATATGGGAGAAATAGAGACTTTGGAAGACTACTGAGCATGTGCAAATCAACTGGCTTTTCCTGCATCTGTTAACCATGGATTCTCCGTTTTTGGACACAGTACTCTCCACCATGCGTTCTTCTTCGCCTCGCAGTGAATCACAGAATCAGTCATCTCAGGCTGCTTCCTCTAGCCCCAGCAAACCCTTTCTGCCCAGGACTGCACAGGCGTCGTTCCTACTGTCAGCCTAGAGTCAAGTGGACTGTGTTCAGAGTCCTGGGAGGGTGGGAGATAGGATTCGTTCACAACGAGGCTGATTTGGGCAGCAAGCTTTCACTGTGCTGTGATTTCTTCTGCTGACATACCTGGAAAAAAAAAAAATCAATTGGGATTCTGCAAACCATTGCTTCCCTCTCCTGGTTACTCTTACCACATCCAACACGTGCAGTCGTGGAGAGAGAGAGAGAGAGTTTGTGGTTAACAGATGTTGGTCAAAACCAAAATGCCACACAGATACTGACTTCCGCGCTCCATCAGGGCAAGAGGTGCTCTCCCAAGCCAGGAGTTGCATTCATAAGCTAACCTTAGAACTGGCAACAGCAGGAGAGGGGCGGTGGCGGGCGCAGTTTAGCTTGGGTTGGTTTGAAGTTGCACACCCCCTGCCAGCCCTTCTCAGCACATTATTTTTGGAGGGAAAGCTCGAGTCTGTCTTCGTTAGGTGGTGATGCTGAAGCTGGTGGAGTTCCCCGTCGGCATACTCCAGCCTTCCTGGACAAGTGGGGACTTCTGCTCGGGGGGAAAAAAGTGGGATGGCATCTCTTCTTTCAGGTTGAATTGATCCCTTAAATGCTACCTTCGGAGGGTTAGGACCAGTTTATTTTGAGCTCTTTTCCTGCAAATTTGTCTCGTTTAAGAGACAGTAGGATCTTTACTGTGTGGATCTTTAGTCTTTGGTGAGGGTGAACACTGGCTTTCAGATATATACCCCAGCAGTCTTAGCTAGTTGTCATTTCAAGCAGTGCTTAGGTTAACGAGCAGAGATGCCCTTTTGTCGTGAAGAGAGACTGTGGAGGGCGAAGCTATGTGCAATGATGGCCCTGCTTATCTTCTACACCTTAAACTACTTCACACACCTTCACTGGGATCCGTAATGTTTAACTATTTATGGAATCATAACCTTCCTCTCTCACCAAAAGATTAACGCCACCTTCCCTTCTCCACCCACCCACGTGCACACACCACAAAAAGAAAAGGAAAACTGCCAAATGCACTTAGTGTTCAACCCCCTGGTCCCATCTACCATTCCCAGAGGGTTATAACCTGCCGGGGGAGATACGCTACAGTTTTGGTGGAGTTGTGTAAAGGTGTCTGTCTTTCTGTCATCACTGCCTAAAGAAAACAGTTCGAGTTGCTCAAGAGCAGTTTGGCTTTGGATTTTATTTCGTTTGGTTTATTCGTTTTTGGGGTCACCTTCCCCTCCTCCTCCTCCTCTCTCTTCCCCCTGCCCCCAAACATGTACAGTAACTATACAGAGACTGCTGCAGACTTGTATATAGTTTTTGGATCCAATAGCATGGAGAGACTTGGAACTGTTGCAAATCTGGTCTCCCTGTCTCCTTTGCTTTGTAAATTCATAAAAGGGGGAAGAGGGGTAGTTAAAATGTTTACAAAACTTTAAACTCCCTCTGAACTTTTGCCAGTGTGGGGGGGGGGAAAGAGAGAACTTAAATAAAACCTGGTTGTATTATATCTGAGAGAAAACTTTCTGCTTGCTTTTGTTGAAGCTGAGTTTTGAGATAATTCCTGGTGCTAAAACTGACCCAAAACTCGACTCTCATCAGTTTTCATCAAGAAACAACAAGCAAATACACAGGAGGTGGAACAACAGCTGCTGCTTTATTTCTTCCCTGGTGAGGAATACCGGTGGGTTTTTTCTACTTGATAACTTTAGAGTTCAGATGAACACCAGTAAGCTGAGATTGGAAAATTCTGACAAGAAAGCTTTAATTTTCCCCCTTTCTCTGCACAGAAACAGGTGTGTTCATGCTCATGGTTGATTATGCAGGAGAGATCATTTTCTGTTACTACAAATGTTCAGCCACGGAGCCTGTTTTTGCCAGGCCGTAACCACCCCATCCATTCCAATTCCCTTCCCTAAATGAGAGATTTTATTTCTCCCCTCAGTGTGAAGTCTACATGGTCACCTTGCAGGCTTCCCTTTTTAGACAAAATCTTATTTTCCTTTTTTCCTAATTGCTGCTTGTTTTTGTGTGGAAAATCCTAGTAAAAGTTGGTGCTAAATGTCCTACCATTCACATGATCACAAAGAATATGAAGTCAGTAAAGAATTAACTTCTACAGTAGCTTTGCATTATGTTTAGCTGATGTCTTGGAGAGAACAGTACATGTTTAGGCTGATAATTTGACTTTGGTTTAATATCTTCATTTTTTTTCAGTGTATAAGGTGTCTGGTTCATAAGTGCTTTCTGTTTCCTTAATGGTATGATCTAATTTCTACAAGCTGATTTTGGACTACTCTATACTGTGTAACAAATAAGCAGAAGCGTGTTCAAGCTCAGCTGGGGAGCAGGAAAGGAACGATTCGACGGTTGCTAAATGAAAATGCAGACATGCAAAGCAGGGAAAATGTGCAATAATTTGTCGAACCCCGAGGACCTTGCTCAGCTTCTGAGAATTTGTAGGTAATCAACCAGTGGGGAAGATCTTGCTCTTAATATTTCCATATTCTGGCTTCTGTATTTAGTACAAAGGTAAGATGCTGGCATGTTCAGACTGTTTGCTCAGGTGACTGCCCTGTCACCTTCTGTGACAAACGGGGCCTGTTTCTGTCACTTGGATCAGTAGGGATGGGAAAAACAGGAGCTACAGCTTTGTGTCTGCTGGTGGATATATATTTATGCACTTCCAGCTCATTTTCAGACAGAATGTGAACCTGGACAAGCTATTGGGGCTTTGGTCCAGGTTTCACAGATGATGTTGAATTTGATGGTAGAGATATCTGGGGTTTCTTTTGAGCACGTTTCACCAGGTTACGTCTCATTTTGCTGCAGGGACAGTGCTCAGTCCTCTTTGTTTTTCCTGCTTCCCCTCGTAGATGCGCATTTTTGCGAAGAACTGCAGCAAGCAGAATGATTTAAAAGGACACCTGAACTGTATCTCTCTGCCTGTCAGAGAAAGCCAAAAAGCAAAGAGGTCTCTTAGCTGAAAAATCTGAAATTTAAGCAAAACTACTCATGTCTTATTTTCAGAACATAAAGAACTGACGTTGGGAGTGTTTATGTACTTTATCACGTCTTTTTCTGAATAGAAACCATGAATTATTTCATCCTCATATCTACTTAAAAAAATCCTAATGAAATTCTCTGTCCTCTGACAGTGAGCTGGAGCGTTCCCCTTTTTATACGCTTCATCCTTTTCCAAGTCTGTGTTGGTGTAAATATGATTGGAAACAAACCTTGGTTTTCTCCGCTGTGAACTTTTCACGAGCGCACTTGGAGGGGAGGGACAGAGCAGCAGAGGGTTGCAGGAGGAGGTAGCTAGTGCCTGTGCCATTTGGATCCAAGGAGGATGGTGGCCTTGCCTGACAAAGGTGACTCTCCTTGAAGATTTACCAGATTTTAACAGGCCGTTCTGCCAGCGGAGACCACACACGGCTCCTAGTCCACCTCTGTGAGTAGAACACCCAGAAAACAAGGATGCCACGGAGCCGCTCTGGCTCTATTTCAGAGCATTTTAGCCTCAAAAGATTGAGGCCCTTGTTCTTTCACTGTGCCCACCCTGGAAAGACCACCGCCGCCCTGCACAGCCAGCAGAGAGCAAAGCCCTTGCGCGGTCTGCTTGGTTTCGGGGTTAGCTGCCCCAAAGGCTCCTGTGTTATTTCCCGTGCGTGGGATGGCCGGCCGGAGGGGAGGCATTCCAGGAGCATCCCCATGTCCTCTGGGAAGGGCTCGCCAACAACTGCTCATGTGTGCGCCGGCCTGGCAGGGCGATGGCTGCCTAACGGCTGGGCTGCCTATGGGGTTTTAGGCACAACTTGTAGAGGGTGGAGCTGCCTTCAGGAGGAGGTGTGCTCTAGAAGTCAGAGAGAGCGAGTCTCTGCTGGGCTTTGCACTCTTCTCTGTCCACTTGCTGTTGTGAAGGAATTTTTTTTTTTTTTGACCTGGCTGGACAAAGTTTTTATTATACCAGTGAAATTTCCAAGTTGTTTCGTACTTTGAAGAGTTTTAAGAATTCCTGCCGACGCTTTTCCTGATGGAAGCCATGCCCTACCAGAGAGTCCTTCGCCTGGTCCTGCTAACACTGTGCGGCATCCTGGTCCCTGCTGTGCTGACGGGTAAGGAGCTTTGTTTGCATTTAAAGCCCAAAAGCATGGGACATCTTTTACTAACCTGCCTGCCTCTCCTTGCATACCTCCTCTCCCTCCCCTAACAACGTCCGTAAGTTTTTGTTGAATTCTAATTGATTAATGGAAGCTAGCTTTGGAATCAGTGGCTGCTGGTGAGTAAGAATGTATTCTCCATCCTGAGACCATGTTTTTGTTGGGGAAAAACGAGAAGATCCTTCATCGTTTCTCTGAAGCTGAACAGCAGTAGCGTCTCCGTGAGCATTAGTGACGGTAGATCCGTAGACAGATCAGCCAGCACTAGATGGGGTGCGCTCCGCAGCTGATGGGGCAGGTTTTAGTGGTCAGCTTTTAGTGGTATGAAGAAGTTACAGTCATGAAAAGAAACATTTTTCTCTGGCTAAAGCACGTGTGCCGATTGCTGGTTCCTTCTATGCTTTCTGCTACAGCAGAGCAATTTGCAGCTGCTGTAAGTAGAAATACGAAAGCGTCTGTGAAAATGTTTAGCTTGGTCAAAAGCTGAGGTGTGCACTTAAACTGTTTGAGTTTCTGTCTACAGCTGGGCGTACCGGGGCAGGCGGCAGCAGTGGGAAGGTACGTGGCTGCGACTCGGGTTCAGCGAGGTGATGGGAAAGGTTAGTGTCAGACACCTATTCTGTGTGGCCCTGTTTTTTAAGGAGGTGGTTAGTAATTTCAGCCCTATCTGCTCCCACTTTCAGCACAGCTACGCAGGCTGAGGGGAACGAAGGGCACAGTCAGCCTCAAAGGCTGCCTGCTCTGAGATGGCTTTTACAAATGGGGGAAAACTGGCTTCCAGACCAACCCCATGGATGGGCTCTGAGCGTACGGGTGGAAAATCCTCAAAGCCTCTTTTCTCTAACTGCAGGCAAGGCTGTGAAGGGATGGCTCGGGCCAAGATAACAGGCAAGAGCACGGTGCTTGTTTTCCTGAATTCTTGTCCTGCCTTCCAAGACCTGGAGCAAGGCTGGATCACAGTTCCCTCTCAGTTTGTTCTGAGCATCTTGCCTAGCAGGGAGATCCTGGCCAGCCTTCTAGCAGATGAAATGATTTCTCTTTAAAGGAGCTTTCATATGGGGAGGGAAATTTATCACTGTGCCTAGCTGGAACACCTGTGGGCGCAAGAACAGAATTCCTGTAGCTGGTGTATCCCCTGCAGATCCTTCCCTTGCTGAGAAACGTTTAAAGTAACCAAGAAATGAGCACTAAAAAGTGGATGTTTTCCTTCTCAAACCCTGAGCTTTGATTTTTGTATAGTGGAACATTAATCACTTAAGCACAGTTTCAGTTTGTAGCTTGCTCGTGCTCCCAGAAGCAGTGGCAGTGTGCTTCCCCAAAACCAGGTAAGGTCTTTTCTTAACTGTTACAGTCTGTTTCACTCTGCAGAAATTGATCCATTTCCAATGAAACTGTGATCTGCTTCTTCCCTGAGTTAGGATTTCTCTTAACACTATTTTAAGTTTCCAGTATTTGGTGCATATTTGCTCTGTCTCCTGCCTTGCCAGCTTTCCTCTGTACCTGCTCTCGGCTTTGCAGAAATGGTTTGTACCGAACCGTTGCTGCCTCCCTGTCTCACTTTGCTCCCGTAAAACACCCCAAGTTCACTTGATTCCTTTACTGGGTGAGTCGCAGTTGCACAGCGAGGCCAGTACCTCTTAAAGAGCTTCATACTGATGAATGCAGCCTTTGCATCCTGGGGCACAGGAGAGACTCCATGCTTTCCGTGTCGTGTTTTAGAGGAGCTTGAGGCCTCTTACGTTTGTTCTTTGCTACCTCAAAGCCAGGCATCAGGGAACCGGCCTGTATGGTAAGCCATCCTAGGAGCAGAATGATTTTTCTGCTGCATTAGTTGCAGAGAGGTACCTCCCCAGTACGGGGACTTCTAGTGCACAGTGGAATTTTTTTCTGCTTTTCACCCCATTAGAAAAGGAAATTTCCTGCCTTGTGCAGATAAAGAAGGAAAGGGCACACAGACAGCCCTCTGGTCTCTGTGCATACACATGCAGCCCTGCCTTTCTGTAAACAAGTTTATTTAACATTCATCAGAACCGCAATGCTCCGTGCTGCTCCACACTCGAGCTCCCGGCGCTCGCGCATCACAGGCTGCCCTTTGTGCTCCCGATGAAGGCCTCTTTTCATCCCTGCCCTGGCCCTGTGCCCGCTGTGGCTACCTGGGGCTGGACAGCCCGTTGCTGGCCTCAGAGTTCACCCAGCCCCTGCCCTCCTGTCTCAGCACCTCGTACTTTCCGTAGCAAAGCCCTCCACAGTGAGCAGAAGTGGAGTCTGCCTCGCACAGGGCTGCAGGTGATGCCGGCCATGCAGACCTGAGACCCAGAATGAGTCTTCCCTTCCTCGTTGGATTTAATTTTATCT